TGAGGTGAGTTTAATTTATACCTATTTACTACTCCTAGCTAATCCCTAGTAGTCTGGGCAATCACTGCCCTATTATAGTTTTTGTCAGATATCCCAGGGCCATTCATCCCAGTGCTGTCTATTCTGATGGTAGCCATCCCAGATCCATCCATCCCAAAGCCAGCTATCCATTGGAGCATCTAATACCTACAGGCCTCCCATCCCTGTGCCAATCCAATGGCTAATGGCCAGCTATCCCTCAGCCCATCCAACACCTATGGGTCACCCATTCCTCGGCCCATCCAATACCTACAGGCCAGCTATCCCTTGGCCCATCCAACACCTATTGGCCACCCATTCCTCGGCCAATCCCATACATGCGAGCCAGCTCTTCCTTGGCCCATCCAACACCTATTGGTCATCCATTCCTCGGCCCATCCAATACCTACAGGACAGCTATCCCTTGGCCCACCCAAGGCCTACAGAATACCCATATTGGCCAATCCATTCCACACAGACATAGCTCAATCAGCCCATCCATTACTCAAAATGCCCTTACTAAAATATCTACTTGGCTGGCCCATATCATACGGGATTTTCTCACACCTCAACCCATCTGTACCCTATGACTACAGGCCATATGTCTGCCAACGATTGGCTGGCCCATGTGGTACGGGTTTTTGTCAACCTCGGCTGGCCATATCCTACAGTCCAAAGCACTACATGGGCTCAAGATTGAAGAGTTCTTTGTTATTTGCTGGCCTATGAAATTTGTTTTAGATAGTGATGTTATTTGTGGAATCAACTTACCTCAGTTGTGCTCAATGCCATTCAGCCAAATGATAGCAGACCCCCTGGTATGAGACAAGTATCTCTGGATGTAATGGAAAGCCAGCATCTCCAAGGATATATTTGCCATCAGGAATATACAAGCCTTTTGTACATGCATCCTGGTAGATTCTTGCATCTGTAGTGGATCCCTCCTACCTGGTGAGTGCAAACGTGAATAATAAATCAAAGTTGCAAGCAAACAGACAGTTTTGCGAAACAAAGCCTTTGCGATTTCGGTACATTCCTCATTGTTGTGCAGAAGGTGCTGCATGGATATGACTACCATCCAAGGCACCAATAACATATTTAAAAAAGGGCCAGAAGCGAGGATTGGTGTGAATCTTGGTGTGGATCTCATTGTCAGCTGACATGTGAATGTATTTTGTGTAGAAGGGTGCAGATGAGAAGATAATGGTCATTTTGTGGAAGTACCTAGAAAATGGTACATGAATCCATGAGCTGTGGTGCATTGGAATGAAATACAGACCATGAAACTGTGTCATTTGACCATTGAAAGCGCTCCCCAACATGTCTGACAGTCAGACCAGTGACACTGGAGTAGAGGAAAATGGCAAGCTGTTCTTCAAGGGATATGAATTTTGAGTTAGAATGACTGAGGTTCCAAAGCTCAGATATGAGTTGTGCAAAGACATGGGCATGCAGACCAAGTTCACATCAGATCCATTCTGGGTGGCCCATGAGCAGTTCTATAAGCCATGCCTCTCCAGTGAGTGCTGAGGTGTGGTAGGGTTTGGGGTCTTTCCTGGTGGTCTTGGTAGATTCAAGTAGAGATGTCATAGCACAGATGATGAGGCTGAGGAGTAGAGCTGTATAATGTAGGATATGCTGCCGGATGAGTGCTCAATGATGATCAACCTGCTCAGAGATGTCCATCAATATCAAATGACAATGAAATAGTATTGTTCACTGATAAGATTGCCATGCCACACAGCACAATTTAAACTCAGATGCAACATTTCCAGAGCCACCACAGCCAGCTTGCAAACTCAACACAAACATGCACAATTTCAGGTTTCTGAATGGGCTCTTAGATGCTCCATGCAACCTTGATTACAACATGGAGCTACCAGAATGTGTCAACAATCTTCCCTCACAGATTGGTCTAGGTATCCTGGATGCCACACCCCCCAGGAAAATCCAGCTTGGGCATGGCATGGACAAAAGATGTTACAGACCTTGTCCTGCAATCAAAGATGACCTCATTGTGGTCCACACCAATGGTGTGCACTCCATTGGCCTCGACTTCTGTGGATGTGAGGATGCAGAAGTGCCTGCCATCCAACTGCTCCGAATGCAGTGGTTCCCAGCCAGTACCAACAAGTCACACACTGCTGCCATGTATTCTGTTCTAGAGCAATTTCATTTATTGTCTCTAGAGTCAAAGGTTTTGGTGTATGAGTACTACAATGCACTGGCACACCTGCCAGACAACACGGGATTGGCAGAGCCTAAGGTACACAATCACATCCCAAATTGCTGCATGCCTTCGCCCTCACTAACTTGACTTATCTTGCAGGATCATCATGAACAATTTCTGAGGATGATCCAGGAGTGGCATCACCTCAAGATGGTAAAGCAATCAGGCTGTGGTCACAATAAGGCTGTAATTGTGTCAACACAAGAGGGTGAATGTGCAGTGCTATACCCTGCATGCATCAGGGAAATGGTGAAGAAAATATAATCCATTATATGGTCATGATGCTGATGACATTGGATTATAATGTCAGATATACCATTATAATCCAATGTCATCAGTATCATGACCATATAATGGATTATATTTTCTTCACCATTTTCCTGATGTGTCCCCATCCAGGCAAGAATCTACCTAGCAATTGGGATCAGGCACCTCCTGAGAAACAGTAAGGTTATTCATTGGTGGTCAGAGTATGGAGGCTCATACCACCTAGATGGCTCTATGGAGCCACTGTTTCCATTGATGCAAAATTTCGCCTCAAGCACAAGGCTGTTTCAAAGGATGCAGTTGACCCTAGTCTCAGTTGTGGATGGGCATATTTTGTGGAGGAGTTGGCATACAAGGCTCACATCACCCAACATCTCGATGATTTGCAGGAGGTGAGCCATTGCATGACTTTCATGCTGTTGGGACTCATGATCACAGAAAAGCACCTGTTCTAGCCATCCTGCTGTAAATATGGCCAATACAAAGTCATCTAAGGGGCTTGCAGCAACCAGTGTGGGTACCATGGACTGTGCCCAACACCAATTCAAGCTTGCAAATGGTGTAGGAGACTTGCAGAAGGGGGAAAAGTATGTTGATTTGTGCTATACAAGTGCTACTTACTTATTTCATGGTTGGTCTCATATATACATGAATATGGACTATTTATTCTTCTCCACTCTCCACAAGTCTCCTGTACACATGTTGAACATGTCCTACAATATTGCATGTCTATGGCATAAATTTTTGTGGGAGCAGATGAAGTGCGTACCTCCCTCTCTCCATCTTAAACATGAGGCAATGGATATCACATTCCTCATTCCCAAGTTCCATCTACTGGCCCATATTTCTGAATGTCAATGGATGTTCTCATTCAACCTCATGCAAGGTGCCTGAACGTGGATAGGCAAACATCAATCCTATTGTGTCAAGTACAAAGGAGATGGGTCCAGGTTCATGCCGTGACATGATAGACAATCACTTTGGAGACTGGAATTGGAAAAAATTGGTCAGCTTTGGTGAGTACATGGCAAGTGTGACCATGCATGATTCCCTAACTGCTCATGCCAGGGCCAATGATACTTAGGAAAATTCAAGAAGCTGTTGACAAAATTTGCCAGAAGAGTGGACTAGACAGGGATTGAACCCATGGACAGGGATTGAACCCATGGACAGGGATTGAACCCATGGCCTCCAGTGTAGTACAGTGGCGCTCTTCCAACTGAGCTACCAGTCCGTTGGACTAGATCCTAGCTCAAGCATCAATAGGCATTAGACAGTAAGCACCATGCTTGCTACCATTTGACAGCTGTCCCAGAGCACAATGACCACCATGAAGACTTCAATGTGCTTACTGCATCACTAGCAACTCAATATCCAGATCTCCTGGCTACCTGGCAGTGCCAGGTTGAGGAATGGGAGGCTGATTCAACCAAACCCAACCTATTCGAGGTCAAGACAGACAGTGCATTAGGACATGCATTTGCTCCAGGTTGCCTACTTAGGCTGATATGTCAACAGCAATCACTCAAGCAAGTATTCACCTGAAGCATATGCACTGGTATTGACTTAGAGGGCCAACAGTATGTATTGTTAGTCCTTTGAGCACTGTATTAATTTTCTGATCTGTTCTTTCCAGATGACATCTGCAGGCTGAATATGCAAGCTTAGGGCAGCATGCAACTGACACACATAAGGCTAGACTACAGCAAAAGAGCAATGCCCTCATGTGCTGCATCGAGGCATTGGCAAAAATACAAGCCCTATTTATTCCAGCAGTCACCACTCTTCAAGAATCAGTCACCAAGCACACCAGTGGAGAAGTGCAATTTCCAGTAAATTTCCCTCTGTTTCTACCCTCAGAAATATACCACAAGGTCAGCTTTGATTCAAGATTGGAGGAGGACATTGAATGGAAACTGTGCTTCGGGCAAGCTCATGATGTGCTCAATGAGCTATGTCAGGACCTCTGATCTAGGGCACATATGCTTAAATTCAAGGATTGGTTCTTATGAGGACAAGGGGCAAACACATGTGCATGGAACTGTTTGAAGAATGTTGATGCAAAGGTGCAGGCCAGCGCATCTGACAAAAACTATAATAGGGCAGTGATTGCCCAGACTACTAGGGATTAGCTAGGAGTAGTAAATAGGTATAAAGTAAACTCACCTCAGCCACTGCCAAAGAGGGGCAAAGAACAACTGAGGAATCCAAAGTGAAAACTAAGTATATATATGTAGTGGAGTGGGTGGAGAAGTGCTCGCTAATGATAATAAAGGGGATAGGAACAGGA